ACTCTACATACATTTTAACATCGAGCATGCTCGAACTTGTGCCTCCTCCACAATGGGCAAGGTTACAAACCAGTTGATCCACCGGACCTGATCTGTAAAAGTACTACACAACATTATATTTATTCATTTGGAATGACCCGGCTGTTTGAACGGTTGAACCGGTTGAACCGGTTAAACCAGGAACCGAAGGTCAAAACGGTTTGACCTCCGGTTCAGTTTTTAAAACTTTGATTGCCATTGCGTTAGCTTGCATGGGTAGGCGAGGTCCAATACAGCCTTTTCTAAATGAGATTTCGTTTTTTAATTAATGATGAAACTATAGTTGGTGTAATATTGATTGAGAACATTCACAAAAAATTAAATAAGAAAATGCAGAGTGATTTATGTGTCTTGCAGATAAAAGAATTGCTTTCTTTTTTCATCAAATTTTGATATACTTTCAAACGAAATTTTGGGTCAAAAGTAGTTTATCCTAAATTTCGGGTGAAAAATAGTTTATCCCTAAATTTTAAAATGTTTAGATTTGTTGACCATGATTTCGAACTTCACCAGAAAAAATCTCCTCCCCCAAAATTGTACACCGTTCAAACAAAAAAAAAGATAAACTCTTGTCATGGTCATGCAATGCAAGAGTTAAATAGAGGAGAGAAAGGCAACTGTCCAAATTGGTTATTTCCTACCCTTTTCTTTCATAGAATGGAAGGATATATTCTAGAGGTTTGAATAGGAAAGGACTCAATATGGAAATTTCCTGATTCAGAAATAATAAACATGTATCTCATTTCATATTCATGACATTCGTTCTATTACCATTGTTTGGTACAAGTAGGTAACAAGGAGGGATGACAGTTACTGAAACAGAAAAACGAAAAAAACGGAAGAACCAAAAAACTGAAAACAGATTCAGTATAACTCTTATTTTCATTAGAAGAATACAACTGAACCATGAAAAAGGGTCAATACGATTGGTAGAAAATTGCCTGCAGAAGTGGTTGAGCCGTTCTAGGTTGCAACTAAACAACCCTGACAACAGATACAAGCAACCACAATGCCGAGCAGAGCTCCAGCAAGGACCTGTGAGGGAGTGTGGCCAAGAAGTTCCTTGAGCTTTCTTTTACTTATTGGATGACCCTGGAACAAGTCCTGAACAATAAGGTTAAGAACCTGCAACAGGCAGACAAAAATGATTAGCATGGAGGTTAGCAACCATAAATGTAATAGAAATCGTTCTCAGGAAAAGCTAGTTGGTTCAGGAAATTTGAAAGGTTATATATAATTGACACAATTATTGGGGGAGAAAAACCAGTCAAATATGTGCTGCTCAAATGCATGAAAACTATGCAGATATATAAGCAGGCAACATAGAAATGTAGGTTGAAGGCATCAGAATTCAAGACAAGTTAGAATTAAAAAGGAGCAGGCACAATTCTCTTACTTCAGCTCATACTCCTGACCAAGAAAACTTCTGTCGTGCCTCTCCCTAAATACCATAAACGGTTAAAAATTACTACAACACATCCACAGCAATTAAAGCCTCATTTGTTGCCTGTCGTTTATCTTTGTAACAAGTAAATGCCTTCCTTTTCCCTCAAATTCTTCAAGACTACAATAAGTTGGTGAAAGCATGTCAGACTATTTTCAATAACTTAAGGATGAATTATGGTTCCAATCTAATAGTGTCACTTCCTAAACAAATACTTAAGATGAACTGACTTACATTATGCGTGATAGAAGATACTAAAGTACAATTAAAATGCCTTCTCTGCACCATCCATATCAAGTGTAGAAAAAAAAAGATGCCTGAGTGCATAAAACTCAAACTTCATCTCGTGATCCTAACATGTAAAACTACAAACACCTCTACAGAATTGTTTATAAAAAGAGTGATTCAACATTTTAACATCCACTCATAAGCAGAATGTTAAACTAATTACTAGATCATAGCTTGTTTGAAAAAATAATACACCTGTTCTACTTAAATGCAATGATTAAAAGGAAAGATCATCATTCTCAGGTCCAAACTTATAAGACAGTAATTATACTCAAAGCCACAGAACATATAGGGCTAGTTTGGCTGGATGGAATAGATGTTCCATGGTCAAAGCATAATTATAAAGTAAATTAGTTAGAAAATATAAGAGATAGAGAATACCTATTCCTTACATGCAATAATTTATATTAGCAAGTTATAGTTGATAGGGGATAGCTAACACCTAATAAAAGGAGTTATTAGATATTCCCATCTTATTTCATATTGTTAGAAGAAATTGATAAAAAGTAAGCAAAATGTATTCCTAATCCCTTGTAGTCTCTCACTAATTTACCTTATAAATATGCTTTGACCATGGAATACCTGTTCCATCAGCCAAACTCACCCATATGGAAATAATTTTCAGAGAATATGCTAATCTATAAAAGCTTTTATATTTGGAAGTAGGAGACAGAGCATTAATTGATTACTAACTTTTTTTAACCGTAGCCAGTTCCTCAGCTGGTGCATTGAACCATACTTCACTTTGTAAAAGATCGCATAAAGGTTTTCATACCATATTAGAACTTAGCCACAAAGGATAACTACTGAATGGCTCATATGGTAACATTGGAAGTAGAAGCTCCAGCAAAATTCATGGTAAAACTTAAAAGTCCATCCTATGGAGGAGGTCAATACCATCCACTAATCACCTAGGATAGACACAAATCCAAACACAGAAATACTACCAGTATCCAAGCAACTTAGTTTGTTGAGACTTCAATATCTTCAGGTGACCAACTAGTGTTAGGATAATTTATGGACCTTAGTTCTTTTTACTTTTCTCAACTACAAAATGCAGTGACGCGCATTAATTGTATTCAATCTCCAGAGGAAACACCACCCTCCTAAACTAGCATATAACCTATATTTTTTGATTTGTTAAGTTAGATATCCAATTATCATGATTCCTGAGTGAATAAAAAGTTTACACAACCATAGTCGAGCAGGGACTTATCAAGGAATTTGGAATATATTGCAACGTCAGGTCATCCTAAAGTAAATGCAAAATTCACATGCAGAACTAAATACAAAGAACAAAGCTATAATGCTCTCAGCCATTTTCTCAATAACCAACTCCTATGTGGCATTCCAGTCTCAATTTCCAGTCATAATAAAAAGTTGACTCAGAACTGCAAACTTGTGTGATTGGAATACGTGACCATTATTTTCACAATATAAACTATTCACATAATTTTACCC